ACTTTCCCATTTCTTTTTGACTGATATTAGGAGATGCACACGATAGTGATCACGCGCATCGTGGAAGTGAGAGAGATCATCACAGTGTACCATAGAGTAGCTCAGTACGATGACAACAGTGAAGCCATGCTGCACAAACTGGAGGCTGTGAGCAGTGACCTGGATGATGTGAAGCTACAGCTAGAAACCCAGCTGGTGGAGGCACAGCAAGCTGAGCAACAAATGGAACAGGTACGCGTTGCTGTACCGACTATCACTTACCTTCATCTCCTACATGTTTATCAGATATTACTCATCATATGAAATAATGTTAGGATGATTGTCTTGCTGTGGGCACTAGTATCTGTATTGATGAAGGTGTTACATTTTAGGATGAGACAGACAAAGAGCGTGAGNGGTGGGTTCTTGTCACGTAGGGTTGAAGCTATGCAGTTAAATAGTCTCATTGAGTTATTAGAAGGTAGTACATACTTCTGTGAATAATATGTTGTTGATGTGCTGTCAACCTTCTACGTCAAAGCAATGTTTATTCGGTGATTTGTTGACATTGTATAACACTGACTGATAATTTACCATTTCTTTTTGACTGATATTAGGAGATGCACACGATAGTGATCACGCGCATCGTGGAAGTGAGAGAGATCATCACAGTCTACCATAGAGTAGCTCAGTACGATGACAACAGTGAAGCCATGCTGTACAAACTGGAGGCTGTGAGCAGTGACCTGGATGATGTGAAGCTACAACTAGAAACCCAGCTGGTGGAGGCACAGCAAGCTGAGCAACAAATGGAACAGGTACGCGTTGCTGTACCGACTATCACTTACCTTCATCTCCTGCATGTTTATCAGATATTACTCATCATATGAAATAATGTTAGGATGATTGTCTTGCTGTGGGCACTAGTATCTGTATTGAGGAAGGTGTTACATTTTAGGATGAGACAGACAAAGAGCGTGAGCGTGCCAGTCTGGTAGAGACATTAACCCACCAAGTGGAAGATGTTGAAAACTGGGTCACAGAGACACACAGCTTCATTACTTTGCCCGTCGAAGATGAGGATAAAACTGTAGCTCTCTACAGAACAAGGATCGTTAGGATACAGGTGGGTTCTTGTCACATAGGGTTGAAGCTATGCAGTTAAATAGTCTCATTGAGTTATTAGAAGGTAGTACACACTTGTGTGAATAATATGTTGTTGATGTGCTGTCAACCTTCTAAGTCAAAGCAATGTTTATTCGGTGATTTGTTGAGATTGTATAACGCTGACTGATACTTTCCCATTTCTTTTTGACTGATATTAGGAGATGCACACGATAGTGATCACGCGCATCGTGGAAGTGAGAGAGATCATCACAGTTTACCATAGAGTAGCTCAGTACGATGACAACAGTGAAGCCATGCTGCACAAACTGGAGGCTGTGAGCAGTGACCTGGATGATGTGAAGCTACAGCTAGAAACCCAGCTGGTGGAGGCACAGCAAGCTGAGCAACAAATGGAACAGGTACGCGTTTCTGTACTGACTATCACTTACCTTCATCTCCTACATGTTTATCAGATATTACTCATCATATGAAATAATGTTAGGATGATTGTCTTGCTGTGGGCACTAGTATTTGTATTGAGGAAGGTGTTATGTTTTAGGATGAGACAGACAAAGAGGGGTGAGCGTGCAGTCTGGTAGAGACATTAACCCACCAAGTGGAAGATGTTGAAAACTGGGTCACAGAGACACAGCGCTTCATTACTTTGCCCGTCGAAGATGAGGATAAAACTGTAGCTCTCTACAGAACAAGGATCGTTAGGATACAGGTGGGTTCATGATATCTAGGATACAAGATTTGTTTTAAAACACAATGACTCAGCTACACCGATATCATTAAACGTTAAACAATAAGGCCAGGTGATGTCAACCCAAATAGCATCTTTATATAATCTGTTGTTGTGCTGTCAACCTTCTAAGGCAAAGCAATGTTTTTTAAGTTTTAATTGTTTGTTTATTTGTTGAGATTGTATAACACTGACTGATACTTTCCTATTCCTTTTTGACTGATATTAGGAGATGCACAGGATAGTGATCATGCGCATCGTTGAAGTGAGACAGATCATCACAGTCTACCGTAGAGTAGCACATTATGATGACAACAGTGAAGCCATGCTGCACAGACTGGAGGCTGTGAGCAGTGACCTGGATGATGTGAAGCTACAGCTAGAAACAAACTTGGTGACGGCGCAAGAGGCTGTACAAGACTTGGTGAGAATACTGTGTAACTCATTCAAACTAAGTGACAATTTACTAAATTCTCAGAGTTCATCTATCAGTAAATCTAGTGTAAACCAAGTGAAATCCGTCCAATTCTAGTCGACACTTCCACGGTGAGAAGTGTTGACTAACTGTAGTGCTTGGCATGTCTATACAGGAGGAGCGGGAGCGCATCGTGCTGGCACTAACGAGCCAGGTGGAGGAGATCGAGTTGTGGGTCTTAGAGGTTAATAAATCGATGCAGCGTGAAATCCCCACGCACAACGACACGGAGTTTCTCAGCGTTATGCTGGAAGAGAATCAGGTGAGGCTGCACGCAGTGTCGCGACAACGTGGTCGGCTGGTAGAACACTAGAAGCTTAGGGATGCCGCATGAGCTGAGCTATAGTTACGACGTGTTGTAACGTTATGTATGTATGTTCACCCATACATACACCAATGGAAATTAGCGCATGTTGTGTGACATTGCACGTGACGTGGCACTTGAGGATATATCTCTGTGAGCCAAGTGTGTACTTGTGTAGCTGGAGTGTGTGTTTCCTTGGCAGGATTCATCATACCTTTGCTTTGCTCTGCAGGTGCTTACTGCTGTCATTGTCACTCGGGTAGAGGAACTGTCCTACATCTACAGCACATACCAGCAGGTGGCGCCGGCTCAGCCAGCAGACGCTGTGCAGGTGATGAATGTGCGACTAGACAGGATTAGGGAGAAGCTGAAATTGGTAATGGCTGCAAGGCAAACACAGGAGACCCGACTACTGCTCGCCATTCAGGTTTGTCTTTACTTAAATGTCGTGGATCTATTTTATGGACATCTTTTTGTATCCAGTTCAATTGACTACGTCACGAATTTTCTATGGTAAAATTTGTAAAATTTTTGTTGCCATTTTTTTACATTAAAAATAAGAACTACGGGACTACAGGGTTCTCCAAGCTTTTTCATTATAGCATGGCGGGTGCTGCCTTTACAGTCCTAGTTGCAAATCGCCGAAGGCAGTTTGCGTGCTAGGGGGGTCCGGTGGCTATGGTATTTAGCATGGTGGCTATGATATTTAGAGTGGCGGGTGCATTTTAGGATGGCGGGGCTCGACGATAGCCTGGCGGGCCGCCAGGCTATAAGTGCTCTTGGAGAACCCTGGACTAAACGTATCGTCAAATTCTTACCTGATAAGATTGTTTCTCAACTAGTTAAAAATCCAAAAAACCTGGACGATTTGATATTGTGTTTCTAACATTAATTGCTTG